CCCCCCCCCCCCCCCCCCCCCCTTTTTGGGCGGGCCCCCCCCCCCCCCCCCCCCCCCAAATATGGAATGTTTTGATTGCTTGCACCCGGGCGGGACGGAATCAATTCGGTGAATCCGCAGCCGGAAAGGTGCCGGGGGTGGTGTACTCGAACAGCGACAACAGGGGCCACAGCAGCAGGCCTGGCGGCGGCGTCGGGCGGCCGGCCGATGACCCTATCCTGGTGAAGGTGGACAAGATCGTGCTCGACCGGGAGGTTCGACGGCTGAACGCTTCCTTCGACAACACGGTACGCGAAAACGAGTTTACGCTTGGTGCGTCCGTCCCACATGCACGTTGAACTACTGGTGCCCGGCACGCTGGCTGACACCGCTGTAGGCAGGCGAAAGCCTCTAGAGGCGCCGCCCCACGTTGTTCAAGCACGACCTATCTTACCGCAAGCGAGGCATTATCCAACAACGCCGCCCTGTTTTGCCCTGTTCCAGGCCCCCCCGTCTGTTCTCTTGTCCTGCATTGCACCCAAGCAGTAGCGTCGTTTTTTTTTTGTCGTGGCATTTCGCCGAGCCGTGTCGTCTCACTCAACAGAAGAAAGCACTATCCCTCGAATGAGACGAGAGTGCCATCGTGAAATGACTCTCGAAAGGAGGAACGGCCCAACAACTATTGACCCCCCCCCCCCTATTCGTGTTCTCGCGGGCAGTGAAGGCAAGTCTAGGAATCAAATGTGCCCCTGTGGCAGCAAGTGATTGCCCCAGCGCGCCCACCCCAAACTTGTCTAAAGTGACCCGTCCCACCCTCCCCTCCGTCTTGCTCCTGGTTTCCTGAAGGTGTACGATTTGGTGATCGAGGGGGAGACATCGTCCGGGGACGATGCCGCCGATGATGGGATAGAAGTTACAGTAACAGACCCGGGAGCGGGGGGGGATCGGGGCAAGGAGGAAGAGGAGGGGGTATCGGCAGGAGAGGGGGGGGTAGAGGGGGGCGCACAGCAGCAGCAGCAACAGCCCGAGCGCCGTGAGCTCGTGCTTGCGAACCAAAGTCGCCTACACCCCGGTGAGTTGAGGGTAGGGTTGGTTTGTGTCGCGCGCTTGTCTCGTGGGAGCTGCGACTATGGTTTTTGGTGGAGCGAGGGACGACGGTTGTTGAAACCACCGGTGTGATTTGGCGCGAATTGCTTCTTCGCGAAAACTCCGCACCACTCACGCCCGTAATTCTTCTCTCTACTACACTCGGAGGTAAGGGTTTAACGGCAGGCTGTTGTCTTTGGTTCAATCTCCCGCCTGCTGCTGTGCGCCCGCTGCAGTCACGGCAGTGAATGCCTTTTTCTTCTTTTTTTTGTCGTTTTTCCGTCCAGGCAAGGGTGGTTTTCGGTTTACTTGCCGGTTTTCGATGATTGTGCGGCAAGACGCGTTCGATCAGTCTGTTGTAAGCATCGAAGTAGCATTGGTGTGGTTGTTGGGGTGCATACTCTCATGTAGGTGACGTAGAATAGCTCGTTATTTCATGTCTCCCCTAGGCCTGCATCCTGCAGAGTAACTACCGTGATTCCTCGTGTAGGACACGAAGCTCGGCGGTTTCTCACGAGCAAAATCACTCCGAACACCACCAGTAAAGAGCAACAATATTTGAATGACAAGCTCGATGCCGTTCTTATTGAAGTTGTTCCGCAGAGATTTAAATTCCGAGATTTATATTCTACAGGTCACATTTTTTTATCGTCGGACCTCCGCACAATACCCCTCTCTCAGTACTCTTCCAAACCGTCTAGAAACGGAATTCCGTGAGGCACAGGCTTCTCCAGGCTAGAACCCATTATTTGCTCTATTCGGGTATTCAGTGGGTCATGGGAGGCTATATCCCAGACCAAATGCGAATGTTTTCATGGGAAGGCCCCGAACATGTGCCGATACGATTGGTGTCCTTTGCGCGTGCAGCAACATGCGGCGAGAGGTACACCCGCGAAATGCTTGAGAACTGCGCGCGCCATTCCCTACGAATGAGAACTGACCACCTTGACGGTCTGTTGCATCAAGAGCCGTGTGTCCCGATGCGAACCCAACCGGCCACGATCGTTTTTTATCTCTCGACTGCAGTGGCGATCCTCCGTGTTATTCTCGACCAGGCGGGTAGGTACGGGAACGGGAGGAGCTATGGTCATTGCCGGAGGCGTGAACAGCCCCAATTATTCTGGCGTGTGCCGTTGTGAAGTGGGATGTAGCGGCGGATGTTTTGATGGTCGAACACATTCGCCACCTTACTAACCTGGCTCTCATACTCCATCGCCCCCCTATTTTTTGACGCGTTTTTTTTTTTTGTCTTGTTTGTCGTCAAGTGTTCCGCACCCTCCTGAGCGTGAACTGGATAAGATACAAGGCCGGTCGAAAGTACCCGATCCCCATTAAGTTCATCAACAGCGACCTCAACGAGAACTTCCGGAAGGGGGCGTACATCCGCAGGCGAGTGGCAGCGGCAGCAGCAGCAGTAGCAGCAGCAGCAATGCAACAGCAGAAATTCGCGCCGTTGATTCGCATGGCGTCGACATGCCAGCAGATGCGTGGTCCCCCCTGAATGCAGCAGTGCCGTGCCGGCTTTCTTCCTTGGTCTTGGGAAGACTTTCGCCCCGCGATCCCCTACCTCGTGCAGCCCGCCCCTGCCCCCAATCCCATGAGGAGTAGGATGCACAGTGCTCGGGACTAATGCTCAGTTTTTGGAAATTTGACTGGTCTGAGATATTTCACACAGGCGATGCTGAAAAATGAGTTCTCGTCCCCCCCCCGTTCCCCCACCATCACGCCCCTGTATTTGGACCTTGCGCTTCGCAGGTTGAAGACCCACCAGCACATACTCCTCCCAGAGGACCCAGAAATGGTTCCCAAATGGCTCTACTTGGATCTCGAGTTCGTTCGGTCGGGAAGCAAGGTAAGCCAGCTGCCCTGCTCTGCTAGGTTTCTCGATTGCGAGTCGGGTTCTCGCTGCAGAAAGTATTGGGGGGGGGGCTTGGTATTTTCTCCGTGCCGGAACCCGTTCCATCTGATTGGCTCCTCGCTAGCTCGGGCGCGTTTCTTGATGGGTTTCGGACTTCTTTTCGCTTGAAATCTTTTCATTCGCGAAGGAAAGTGCCACCCCGCCCCTTCTTGCATTTTTGTCTTTGCGTCCTCAGTCCGCAGTCTGGTGTGTGTTGCTCGCGATCGGCGTGGGTTGGAATGGGCCTCAAATCCGCCCCCACCGCGGAAAAGTTGTAGTTTTTTTTCTCCTGGTTGTACCCATTGCGGACGCGGTTTTGGTGCAACCTCTCTCCCTTCCCCCCTCTTCCTCTCTCTCTGTTGACGTCGTCTCTTCGAACAGTTCGAGACGCGAAGCGAAATGACCTCAACCTGCAACCTGAACGTTTTTTTTCCCACCACTATTTGCTCCCTCCTCCCGCTCTCTGTGTTTTCCGAACAGCTTCGAGTGAGCGACCTGATGATGCCTGAGGGGATCCTGCTCCACCGAGCCAACGAGCCTGGGGTGAGTGAGTTTCTGTCATGGGGCCTCCACTCGCGGCCTTGGACCAGGGGCACAATGCATCTATATGGCCGACCCGTGCCATTTTTCTAGGATTGGTTTGTACCATTTAGCACGGTTTTAGGTGTTGGCGTCGTGTGACGGGGGACCTCTGCTTTGCCTACCTTTACACGGTGGGAAAGAACGGATGGATAGGGTGCAGAAAACGGTTCAAATGTGGAAGAACGGATGGAAAGGGTGCAGAAAACGATTCAAACGTGGAAAACGATAACAATCCATGGGACTAGCAATTTAGGTTATGGGTCGACGGACATGTTTTTCGTCGGCGTTGCTCACGACTGCTGCGCTTGTCTCATTCGAATTCCGTTGCATCCCGCGTTGCCAGATGTGGAACGAGGTGGTGTGCACTATCAAGGGCCGCAAGGTTTTCGCCTCCGGAGACAGCGCCGGCGACGATGAGGACGAGGTTTTTGTGGATGACGAGGCGTGATTCTTACTCCGGGGGTCATGTAGAAGTAGCTCCCCCCGTCCTGCTCGATGCGCACAACTGACACACATGGGCGTTGGACAAGAAAATTGCCATTTTTTTGCGTGTTGTCCCCCACCCACCCACCCCTCCCTAAATTGTCGTTGTTGTTTGTCACGACGGAGAGTGTGAAGTTGACGGAGTGTGCGTGAGCTGATGTGCAGTTAGGGAACTCGCCTCTGCACGCTGTACTTTTGGCTTGAGAGAAGAGGTTGAGGTTTTGGGACGATCGGCAGCCGGTGCTAGATAGCTAGAAGTTCTTGGCCATTCCCGAGTGTCGACAGCTAGTGTCGATGCGTCACATGATGAAATCGTTGCAGAATACGCCTAAGGCTGTTCGTGAGGCAGAAAGAGGACGGGAACGGGACGGGGGGGCGGGGGGCGGGTGATCGTCCCCTGTTTAAGCGACTATACTTCCCAAACGGCATGCTGTGAAACAACGCTATCCCTTCCGTGTGCGCGAGAATGTCTCCTAGTATTGTGTAGATGCTGTTGTGCTGGAGTGGTGGAAACGATAGTCTGGTGCCGAGCCGACCTTTATTCGAAGGGGGACACGTACGTCCGGTTGTTGCTCCGTTGTGTCGACCTTGTTGGCGAATTGTAACGCATTTAATGCACAAATACATGTGCGCGTGTACGTGCTTACTGCGCGTCAGGGCGGCGAGTGGCAGCGCTCTCGCCTGTCTCGTTCGTGGTCCGTGATTCGTGCTCGGATGATGGTGGAGGTTTATCCGTACCACGGGTCGTGTAGTAGAAGGGTTTTTTTGCTTGCGTGAGGTGCTCAAAAATTTTGTCGTAACTGACAAAATGATTTTCGAAACAGGGAAAAGGAAGGGTGCGTGCGTGCGTGTTTCTCTTTGATTTGAATTCCCATTCTAACCTGCTGAAGAATGAAAACTCGGCAGTCTGATCTCGGGAGGATCAGCACGTAAGAAAACGCTTGTTAACAGCGTGCCACGCGATAGGGGGGGCGCGGAGTAGATTGGATGACAGGATGCAGTTTTCCGTATTCGCTGGACACCACGAGTCGGTAACATTCGTGCCGCACTTCATGCTCCTACCGTAAATGACACAAGATAACACACCTACGTAAGACACCACACCAACCCACAGAAAACGACACCCCGGTGATATTTTTGGGCGTTTCTGACAAACCATCGATTTGTCACCCGGGATACACAAGATGACACACCCCGGTGATAAATTAAGGTTACGTCGCATATATTCACGGGGCCCCTCCTTTTATCACCGAGGTGACAGCATCTGCCCCTGGACATAATACACAACACACACCCTTTTTGTGTGCGGGAAACGCCCCGCATGGAGACCTCCAACATGAACGTGCAGGAGAAAAGCAGACTGCCGCCGCAGGTACATCCGCTTCTTCCACAACTGCTTCGACTGCAGCAGCCCAGGTGCAACAGATCACCTCGTTCTTTCACCCGAGCAAACTTCTTCTACGCAAGCGGCTCCTGCCACGGCTCCACCTCCTGCTGCAATTGATCTTACAACAGCAGCAGCTGGCACAGCAACAGGCGCCAACATGACAGCCACCGCCTCGCCTCACCAGCAGCCAGTTGCTGGCTCGCTCTCAGCTGTACGTATGAGTACCGCAGACGAGTCAACACGCACCCCCAAAGCCTCTCATCTTGTGTTGGTGGACACCCCCTCATTGTCACACACCCAAACACATTCTGTGGGTGTTCGGACGTGCTATCACACGCCCCGGTTTGTCACATCCCCTTAGGGGCCCCTGCGAGCTGCAGTTTATCACCCGGGGTACATAAGATAACACCCCCCCCACAGGATACCACACCCGGTGAAAATATTTTTAAACCCAAAAATGTTATCACCGGGGTGTGTTATCTTGTGCTATTTTCGGTATGCTCTTCTCGCTTGCACTGCAGGGGGTTGCTCGCTATGTGACTTCCGTTTGGTTGTTTTCCCACTGTTTCATTGCTCTCAAGGAGTGTATCCCTGCGAGTTGTTGCGGTCGACGGACGAACGGAAGATCTGAAGGATCGAAGTCCGCACTCTCTTGCACACCACTTGCTACGCTCTTCTTGAACTCTTGCTGCTGACTTGTGGCAAAGTCGCGCAGAATAGGAGTTCCAAAATACCGTTCACATCTCAACGCATGCATTCACATCTCAACGCATGATGTTGTACTGTTTGAGACTTCACCCGACGTCGTCGTGCTCTCCCAGGAACATTTTCACGAAATCCCGGCGCCACTGGGGACGTTTCGTGGGACGTTGTTCCTTGGTGCTGAACGTCCATCATCACGAACCCGTCCCCCAAAACAAAGTGCCGGGGCACTCCAACGAAGTCCATTCCGCAATTTACGGTGAGTTCCTCCCGCGCATGCACCTGAGAATATCTGCTGGCGCTTTTTTATTGCTCATCTCTCTGTAACGGCAGGCGAACCATAACCACCGCCCTGATCGCCGCGGAACCAGGGTCCTCTGTGGAGGCCGTCGGCAAAGCCAACAGGTCCGCCGGGATGTCCCCAACTTCAAAAGACGCCTCGCACGTCCTTAGGAACTCCGCCTCTCGCTCTGGCCACCTGCGAAAAACGTGTTCATGAAAGCGGTTTACACTCTGTTCATTGATTCCTCGTGGTGCCGATGTGACAACAGCAGCATGCCGTAGGTTACACAGGATACCACCCCCCTCTGGATTGATTTTCAAAGCTCGACTTCTCCTCAGAGCAGAAAGAGTGGCGGCGGTGCCGAAAAAAGTGGCGTTGCAACCGTCTCGTTGAGATATGTTCGAAAGCGTATCGTTTGAGTTAGGTATCCTCTTCGTCGTCGAGTAGTGGAGCTGTGCAAACCGATCCAGGGGGTGCCGTACCGTATGCAACCCTCGGTACCCGAACGAGTGCATACAAACGATTCATGAAAAATCCACGTCCGTAAACCGATCCCTGGCAGATGACCGTGGTATCCCAAGCATGTGCGGGCTGGAAATCGTGTCGAGCCGTCCGGTTGTCCGGGAATGCTTCGTGGGTTATCTGCCAGCTTAAGTGTCTCTAAATTTCGCGAGTTGGTGCAAGGTCGGCCAGGCCAAGTGGGGTTCACAGAGAAACGTGAAATTCAACCGCTTGTACACATTCGGCCATGGCATTGTGGGCGTGGGCATCGTCAAAACCACCACAGCCAGGAAAACGAACGGTTGGTTGGTGTTCGTCTGTTCGGCTCTACTCGCTCTTAGCCTCCAAGCCAAAAGCATGAACCCCGTCCAGCTCGATCATCCTAACCCTGGTTCGGGTGAACCAACACGTTTCTCGCACGTGTTTTTTGTGTTATTTTCACCTCTCCTTGTAGATCAAGATGACCTTCGTCCCGGGCTTGGAGAGCCCCACAAGAGTGCGCCGCAAAGGCTCTCTCGTGTCCTCCTGCAGCAGGTCCAGCGCGGGCCAGTACAGCACCTCGCTGAGCACGATCACGTCGAACGCCGAAGACTCGTCATCGCTTGCGCCGCCACCGCCGCTGCTGCTGCTACATCTTCTGCGTTCACCGCTATGGTTGTTGAACGGCAATGCCCTCGCGTTCGCGATGTCTTCCTCTTCACCCCACCGCAGGGCTACCACGCGAACTCTAGCCTCTCTCGCGGCTGCTGCCGGCACTTCCGTCGCCGCTGGTGGGTCGCTTCCACGACTTGTTCCCGCTACAACGCCGCCGCAGTTTCCACCGCCGCTACCACCACCGCAACCACCACCACCACCACCACCAACGTCACTGCCTAGGACACCTCGGCGACAGCTGGCGGTCGTTCGAGCGTTGGCGACCACCGTCGACTGTATCAGGGCTAGATGGCACGGGAGGTCCGTGCAAGTGACCGACGCAGCCTCAGACCGTGCAAGGCCCACGGACAGGGCTCCCGTGCCTCCGCCGAGCTCGATCACGCGCTGGCGCCCCACGCACAAGAGACAACAGACAAAAAAATACACGCACCCAATAGCACACGGTCAAGGCACTTCTTGCTGTTTTTCGGGTTGAGAGATATTTAACAGTTGTGAGTCGCTTGAGGGAGAAGGCAACGAAGTAGTCTGCATCCGTGGGACAGCAGTGCTTTGGGACAAGGGGATTTGTGGCAGAATGACTTACATCAAGGAAACCTCCACAGATTCCACGCCAACGCAATCCGACGTTTACCAGCCACACGGCGGCAGCTCACACGGTGTATTGCCACATTTTTGTGGAGATTGAGAAGACACGAAACGGGTGCATCACTGCTGTCATGGAAGAGAGGTGTGAGCATGGTAGTCGACGGTAACCTGTGCCAGTTGTATCGAGCAGATTCATTGATGAAGAATGATGAATCAGGGAAGACCCACGGGGGGGACGCCGATTGGGGGAGGGGCACCGACGTTTTGTAGGACCAAATAACTCAGCGTGGCGCGGACACCCCGCGCGTTGAGGATGGGTGAGTAGAACTGAAAAGTTGCACCGCATGTACATCAATGTAGACAGCCATTTTTTTCACTTTGCACTCCGCGCGTCTCGTGTTCGCTGGCGACTCCGCACGCGATAACGACTACTTTAGCAGTGTCGGCCCACTCGCACACCACATTTACTCTGGAGCTCGAGGTATTTCTGAGCTACCGAATACCGTAGGAGACAGCGAGGTGCCGGCGGCCCGGCGGCTGCCCCCAGTTTCTTTCGCCGTTTCTTTATTTCAGAAAATAGCTGGATAATCTTGCTGCCGTACGATCGGACCGCGGCACCACTGCTGTGTATCCTACAAGCTGGGCCAGCCAAGACGCCTACAAAAGGGTTGAAAACGATTTACACCACGATTTTTACGAGTTAGAATCTGAAATTTTGACACGTGGTCGGTGTTAGTATAACGAAGACCTTGACTGACCGTACTTTTTTTTTTTCACGAGGTAGCCCTATTAAAGGGAAAATGGCGTCTTGATTGGTCGCGATAGGGGGACTAAAAAAAAAAAAAAAGTACGGCCAGTCAAGGTCTTCGTTATACTACCACCGACCACGTGTCACAATTTCAGATTCCAACTCGTAAAAATCGTGGTGTAAATAGAAAATTGCTTACTGGCCTCTACACCTGGGCGCAGGGACGAAAATATATATAGGAATATACAGGAAAATGTTGTATTGTAGAGGATATTTTACGAGGCCATAACTTTCGATGGAAGATGACCTGAGCCTTGTAACTACCATCATTGTTCTCGCAATGCTCCCAGGTAAGTGCACACCAAATTTCGGCTTAATCTGTAAATTTTTTATGCTGATTTCAGTACCGGAAGCATCCCCCACTACACCGCCAATTGAGCATTTAATACCCAAATCAACTCAGATTCGAAAAATTCTGGCACCGGCGCATCCTCGATTGTCTTCTAAGATTTCAAGCCAAAACTCGTGGAATTGGCAGCGTGAGACGCGAAACAACGAAAGTGAGCTTCTTGGCTGGCCCAGCTTGTATTGGCTCATGCATGCGGCGAGCTCGCTGGCACCGCTATCTACCGTAATCAAGCTTTCCTTCAACGCGAGGCCCAGCAAGCTATTGAACAACAACGCGCCGTTGGGGGGGTGGAAAATCCTGGAAAAATCGGTAACAACAGCTCGAGCATGTTGTCCAAATCGTTGTACATGCCTACAAAGTCTACATACGCAGGGCACGCAAACATCATGTACCTTGTCCCTGACCGTAAACGTGTTGCCCTCGCGGGGGTCTGCGACTAAATCCCACAGCACTTGGGTACAGTCCCACAGCGTCCTGCCGGTGAGCTCCATGTCTTCTTCATCTCCGTCCTCACCAATGGCACGGTCATCACAGCAATAATCTTGTTGTGTCGCCGCCTCTCCTGCTGCCGTTGTTGTGGACGTTTCGAAGGGAAGCGGCAAAGGACCATCGTCGGTGCAGGCGGTGCCAACAGTCACCGGTTCTATCCCCCAGCGAGACGACAGCACCACTGGCATACTCGCGACCCGTGTGGGTATCAACGTCCAGCACCTCCAGAGAACGAGGGATGGATGTGCTGCGCTTGTGTCCGATACCTCGGCGTGGATGTGCTGCGCTTGTGCCCGATCCCTCGGCGTCCAAGAGTCACCAGGGAAAGGCAGAGGATGTGAATAAGACAAATAAGCTATACTTGTAGCACGAGTGCCTTTCTGGCTGCTATACGAAGATGCCAAGCGTGTATATTTGGCTGGCAGAGAGCGAGACATGATGGGGAAACGAGCACCAGTGCCATTGAGCCATGCCCGCAGTCCCGAACCGGTGGAAGTTGCACCGCGCCAAAACCCACGGACGCACGATGGCTGACGCGCGTCACTTGCACCATATGACACCATGACCAGATGACCAGACAGAGAGGGCCCACGCCAGCGAATCTTCTTTGGACATCAGAATGCGGCGACCCTAGGCGCACCCCAAGGTATGTAGCACAAATGGCAGGCACCCTGCCAGGGCTAGCATCCAAGCAATGCGTTATTTTTCTCCGTGTCCCGGGGGACTTTTCCGCCCCACAAGGTACATACAGAGATTGTGTCCAATGTGTGTGTAGCACAGAGGCAAACAGCTGGAGAGATCGTCAAGTACTTCGTGCGTGTGTGTTTTCGTCTCATCTATCAGTGAATGGGGAACGGGCGAACTCATATAGTTGGAAGAGCCAGTTAGCTTTGTTGGAGAAAATTATGGTAAGTACGTTTTGCGCAACTCGTACATACAGCAGTACGGGCTCGCAGATAAGACGTCAAACTCGCGTCGAGCCTCAACCCCTCATTTTGAGTCCAAGGACCGGCCGAAGTCGTCCGTTTTCTTAAAAAAGGCGTTTCTTTTTCCTTTGGAACGTCGCATCCTCCCAATCCTCTTATTTATCACGTAGATTTTCTTATTTGGCTAAAGAATACTTTTGCTAAGAATACAACACACAACAAATGGTGAAACAAGCACTCATCTCCCCCCTATCAAACAAATGCACTGTTCAGCTAGGTATGCATAGGGGGGTGAGAACACGGAAGGAGCAGCAGTGGGACGCTTCTTATTGGGTAGGCTCCTCCAGCTACCGCTTGTTTCCTATGTCTTGGGGGTACGCACCATGTTTCTTTTATTGGGACGTTTCTTATGTTGTGGCCGAGATTGAGCTGTGATTCTTAGCCCTTTTTTCTGTATTTTTCGTAAAAATTTGAGCCTATTTTTCTCAACTGCGGGCCCGTACTGTATGCCGAATCGAGGTTCAGCAACACCCATACGATGGAAGTCGCTGCAGGGAGGGGACGTCGTTAGCCTGGAGGAGACCATGTACACCGCACGGAAGGTGTAAGAATAAACCAACATACACACGAAACTAAGCCAGACGACCGAGTTCCGGTACCTCGGTGGCCTCGTAAACGAACATGGCGACCTCACCCGGGAGATCAACTACAGGAGCAGAGGAGCGTGGGCGTGCCTCTGGCGATATGGCCGGGAGCTCTTCGACAGACCGAAAGCGCCATTCCGACTCAAGATCCGCCTGCTTTTGGCGGAGGCGGTGGAGGCACTGCTGTACGGCTGCATGACATGGTCACCACTCAGCGGCCACTACCAGACGCTGCGGTCGATACACCACCGACTGCTCCTTCGAGTTATCGGGTACAAGCGCAAGAAAGACAACCTACCGGCAGCTTTCCTACGCCCAGACGCTGAAGAGGGTCGGATGCCAGAGCGCTGAAGCCACGATCCGACAACGACGCCTACTGTTCGCGGAGCATTGGCAAGGCAGCCGGACGGGCGACTCCCGAAACCACTGATGCTCGGCGAACTGGCGGGGGGGGGGAAGCGACGTAGGGGACAGGAACAGAACTGGCCGAAGTGTGTGCTCGACGACCTGAAGGCATTCGGGGCCGACCACGGATCTACGAAAACCGATCCATGTTGTCTCGGAATCCCGGTACCGAAAGACACGGCACCGAAGTTAAAGTGGACGGAAGCCGCGAAGGTGGAGGGGGGAGTATCCTGGCATGCGGCGGTGCTGCAGGGAGCTGAGAGGTTCATGACCTCCTGGCACAAGAAGGAAGAAGAGGCCAGCCGACAACGAACGCTCAAACGAGACCACAAGCCAACAACCAATGGGGCGGGAGGGCGGCAGGAGACGGACAAGACGGCGAGGGAAGAAAGCAAACGAGAAGAGACGGGCCGAGTGGCGCGATACGTGCCGGATTGAATTTCTTTTAGCCAATCCCCCCCCCCCCCAACGCTGCACCCGCCCCCCCGATGGTTTGCCATCGGGGTTGGGTTTTCGTCGCTTGGCAACGACGTTGAAAAACAAGCCTCCCCCCCCGGTGTTTGCCTTCGGGGTTGGGTTTTCGTCGCTTGGCATCGATGTTGTAAAACAAGCCGATCACTTCGTGAGCTCGGCAACCAGGTTACCGCATTTTTTTGCCTATTTTTTTTTTTGCGGTAACCATGAATGGTGGTCAAGTAGATTATGTTGTGCGGGGTCGAGAACCCTCACTCGGCGCAAGGGGGATAATCGCACCACGTTGTGTTAAAATTGGTCAGCACTCTCGAGGCAGTTACGAAGTGCTTACAACCGTCTTTGGAAGTGAAAGCACCAGAAAATAAATTAAGTCATACGCAGCTGTCATCCGTACGCAAGGAAGTAAGCACAAGATGCCGAACACCCTAAGCAGGATGCAGCGCGCCCTTCATGCGACTCGCCGAATTCCTCACGGCGCTTCGCGCTTGGCGATGTGAGAGCCTGGTCCGGTTAGAACCCGGCGTGTTCCGTCCCGGCTTTGTAGGCATGCGAGGTCAATGGTCTAACGACTACGGCATGCACGACTATGAGTACCCCCCCCCCAACGCTGCACCGTTGCACCAACCCCCCACTAGTGATGACGTACCATTACAATGTATCGCTGGTTGGTGGCCATGTTTGCGTGTTTGCTTGTTCGTTAGTGGTCTCTCCGCCGTGTGCCTTTTTCTCTCTCGTTTTTCTTGTTATTTTCGCCCTGGTCCCTTTTTGTCCTCACTCTTTTTCGTTTGCATTTCCCTTTCCTTCGTGTTTCCTTTTATATATATTTTTTCTCTCTTTTTTCTCTATTGTCCCTCTTTTTTCTCTCTTTTTCTGTGTCACATGGCCTTGTCTCTGCTTGCGCTGTGAAGTACCAAGATTGAACCAAGGGGGTGCACCTCTTTCTTACTGGTCCGTCACGCTGACTCGTTGTCTCAGTTGTTACCTCGCATAGCGCGCAGAGGGAGCGGAGGACTCCAGAATATCTGTCGTTGATTTCTTTTGACTTGCGGACCCCTCGGGGCTAGTTTATTTGAGTGTACCTTTTTAGGGTAAGTTAGCCTGTGACCACGGGAATCGGCCGCGTCAAGTTTTGGATCAGTACGGACATATGAAGGTACTGGGTAGAGAGAGATCGGAACGGCTTTTAATGTGAAGACAACAACAATAACAAGCACTTATTACGTACATCACAATTTTGCTCGGATCTCACCGCAGAGCACCGCCTCTCTCCGTAAACTTGCTGCTGCTCCTAACCGCGCCACGTGCTGCTATCCACGACTGCTGTCCCTGACCTTCCGACGGGATGCTTGCTGATTTCGCCAGTTGATGATCGATCCATCTGTTTGCTGCATGGCTACAGCACATCTAGGCGCAAAGGAGGCTGGTATTCATCGCATGGTCCTCCACATACAGCACACGTTCGCGGAGAAAAACAAGCCTTTGGCGACCACCCACGCCCACTCGGGAAGACGTGGCAACTCGGGTCCCAGTCGGCCGTGGCCCGCTGCATCAGCTCCACGAGGAACCGGTGGTATACCAGTGCCGCCATTCCAGCTCGGCGGGCAAGCCAAGGTTCTTGGCCATCATCCTCAGGTTCCACCGGAGGTTGAACTCCAGCCACGCCGAGTGCTTGCTCGAGTTTCAACCTCCGGTGGAACTTGAGGATGATGGCCAAGCACCGTGGCTTACCCACGTCGCTGTCAGGGCACTACAACTGGTACCTTGTCGAGCTGATGCAGCGGGCGACGGCAGACGGTGGACCCGGCCCGAGTTGCTGGGCCTTCCAGGAGTGGCCGGGCCACCAGCGATTCGGTGGATTTACGCCTCGTCTCCCAGGTGTGAACCCTCTCCTGCTGTCTAAGCACCCACCTCAGCAACCCGCTTGTGAATCGACGTCGTGGTTCAAAACACTTTCGCGGAGAAAAACAAGCCTTTGAGGTGGCCGCCTACGCCCACTCTGGGAAGACGGGGCAACTCGGGTCCCAGTCGGCCGTGGCCCGCTGCATCAGCTCCACGAGGAACCGGTTGTATACCAGTGCCCCCCTTCCAGCTCGGCGGGCAAGCCACGGTTCTTGGCCATCATCCTCAGGTTCCACCGGAGATTGAACTCCAGCCAAGCCGAGAGCTTGCTCGAGTTTCAACCTCCGGTGGAACTTGAGGACGGTGGCCAAGCACCGTGGCTTGCCCACGGCGCTGTCAGGGCACTACATCCAATACCTTGTCGAGCTGATGCAGCCGGCGACGGCGGACTCGGGCCCGAGTTGCCCGGCTTCCAGGAGTGGCCGGACCGCCAGCGGTTCGGTGAATTTGCGCCTCGTCTTCCTGGCGTGAACCCTCGCCTCCTCTCTACGGACCCACCGCTTGTAAATCGACGTCGTGGTCGAAAACGCTTTCGCGGAGAAGACCAAGCCGTTTGTGGCCACCCGCACCTACTGAGGCAACTCGGGTTCCAGTCTGCCGTGTCGCGTTGGATCAACCCGACAAGGTACGGTTTTAGTGCCCTCCTAGCGCCGCCGGCAGGTCGCGCAGCTTGGCGATCATCTTCACGTCCCACTAGAGGGTGAATTTCAGCTGATTGCTGGATTTCAACCTCCGGTGGAACCCACAGATGGTGGCCAACAACAGCGGCCGGCCTGCCCGCGGCGTTAGGAGGGCAATTCAACCAGTACCTTGCCAGGCTGATGCAGCGAGCCACGGCGG